AGATATTAAAAAAAAAACAGGGTTTAGTCTTAAAGGACCTTCAAAAAGCTTCTCTGTAAATGAGGCTGAGAATATAAGCTTGTTGGAGCTCAGCAGCAGCAATAATAATAATAATAATAATAATAATGCAAAATGCTGGGCCAGGGATCAGCTTAAGGGGTTCGTGGTTGTGTCCCCCAACCCAGAGCTTCTTGATTTGCAAGGCAAGAGAGAGAGAGGACCCAGAGCACAATTGTGGGTCCTTTTTAAAATTTGTGTTATTTCTGTGTGTGGATTTCCTTTGCTCCTTCCCAGAGCTGTGTTCCCTAAGAGAAGCAGCCGGGGTCTCCCTTTCTCTCTCTCTCTGATTCCTCCCAGGCAGGAGGAGGAGGAGGAGGCCCTGTTTTCGGAGCTGGAAGGAGTGACAGATCTGACAGCCACAGAATCAGGTATTATCCAGAGAGAGACTTTTTATCTCCAAAGCGTAGAACGGGTTGAACTCCCTCCAGGGATGGTGACAAAGGCGCAGGGGAGTGGCGGGGCGGAATCTGACAGCAAACTCGGAAGGAAAAAATAAAATAAAATAAAAGTACAGGAGGGGGAAAAGACAACTACAAACTTGGCAAAGGGAACCGATCAAACAAAATGACCTAGATGTATTTGTTTTTAATCTGAAGAAGAAGAAAAATATTGCAGACTTTCCCTGACCAGGAAATAGTGTGTGAGAGAGAAATAAAACAACATCATTGCAGCTCAAGGATAGTGATACAGCCTGTAATGAATGTTGTGTTGCAGAAACTGGGACTTTCAGAGGGCATCAAGATGCTGGAGGCGGCTCTTGTGGGAACTTAATTGATGCCTCCGGAGCAGAAAACCTTGCCGATTACTGCCCGGGTAAGCAGAGAAATCAGAAAACTGGTGTTTCAGAAACAGAAGTGGTATTTAAACTGGAACGTGCACATGGATGAGGAAAGGAGTCGTCCCCCCTCGGAGATGCACGCTGTCTTTTGGGACCATTTGCACGAGGCCGTCTGCAGAATGACGGACACGCTTCTTCATTTATGGCCCTTTGGACCGGAGCAGAAAACCTGCCGATTACTGCCTGGGTAAGCAGAAAAATCAGAAAACTGGTGTTTCAGAAACAGAAGTGGTATTTAAACTGGAACGTGCACATGGATGAGGAAAGGAGTCGTCCCCCGGAGATGCACACTGTCTTTTGGGACCATTTGCACGAGGCCGTCTGCAGAATGACGGACACGCTTCTTCATTTATGGCCCTTTGGACTCCCGTCACGTGTTTAAATTCTTTTGGGCCAGCCGGAATGATTTTCCCCTTCCGGATCTACCTACTGGGCGAGCTGGTGTCCTTTTTCGCATGAGGAGCGTCGGGGTTCTGTACGAACCTATGCAGGCCCGGAAAAAATATATCTTCCTGACTTTCTTTGCCACTTGGCTCCTGCTCTTCTTCTTTGGGGGAGATCAAATCCGACGTCTCGCCTTCCTCTCCGGCAAGAGAGCCGGTCCGTTGAAAAGCTGGCCCTGCTGGGCGGACAGGTTTCTCCTGAAGAACTTTGCTGATCCCGGAGAGCTCCAGAATGATGATGGGGACCCCGACGAGCAATCCCCCAAAGCCCGTCGAGAACTGAAGAGGACCGTCTACAAGAACAGCCGGTGTCGTATGGAGACTTGCTTTGATTTTTCCAAGTGCAGGGAGCATGGGTTCAAAGTCTTTGTCTACCCCTCGGAGACAGGGGGGCCCGTCTCCGAAAGTTACCTCAAAATCGTGGCTTCCATCGAAGAGTCGCGGTATTACACCCCCAACCCCGAAGAAGCCTGCCTTTTTGTCCTCAACATTGACACTTTGGATCGGGACCATCTCTCCTTACGCTACGTCCACAACATCAACGAGAAAATCCAAGGCTTCCCGCTGTGGAATGATGGCAGAAACCACCTCATCTTTAATCTTTATTCGGGAACTTGGCCGAATTATACGGAGGATTTGGGCTTTGACATTGGCCAAGCCATCCTAGCCAAGGCGAGCTTTTATGTCGAGAACTTCCGGCCCGGTTTCGACATTTCTATCCCTTTGTTTTCCAAAGAGCACCCCCAGAAAGGGGGGGAGAGAGGTTGGCTGCATAAGACCTCCCTCCCTCAGAAAAAAAAGTACCTCTTGGTCTTTAAAGGGAAGCGGTACCTAACGGGCATTGGTTCCGACACCAGGAATGCCCTCCACCATATCCACAACGGCAAAGACATTATTTCTCTGACTACGTGCAAGCATGGGAAAGACTGGGAGAAGCACAAGGACCAGCGGTGTGATAAAGATAATGCAGACTACGAAAAGTAAGTAAGGACCTCTCTCTCTCTTTTTCTGCCTGAAAATATCCTCATCATAAGGCAAGAACCTCTCTCTCTTTTTGCCTGAAAATATCCTCATCATAAGGCAAGGTGAGGTGGTGGTATTTGGAGGGCACTAACTCTGTATTTGTGGGGAAGGAAGAATACATATTGGGTCTGTGCACCATGGTGTCATGAAAAGTTCCACCAAAGTCCGCCAGAATCATTAGTAGCTGCTCAAAAGCTTGTGCTCATTTCAACCGGTTGTTCCAGTTGACCCTATTAATACCGTGTTTCCCCGAAAATAAGACAGGGTCTTATATTAATTTTTGCTCCAAAAAACGCATTAGGGCTTATTTTCAGGGGATGTTTTTTTTTATGTACACCAATCCACATTTATTCAAATACAATCATGTCATCTTCTTCTTGTTGCTGCACAATTGTGGAGGGTAAGGTTTCCCTTAACTGGGGTTTATTTTTTGGGGTAGGGCTTATATGACAAGCATCCTGAAAAATCCTGCTAGCACTTATTTTCAGGTTAGGTCTTATTTTCGGGGAAACAGGGTAAGCATGTACGGAGAGCAGTTGTGTTATTTTTCCAACCTCAGGCATCAAAATATTTTGGGTGAGCTCTCATTAAGAATGCAATTTATCTCTGTCATGCATAGGCAGGGATACTCGTGTGGTGAGGAAAAACAGAAGAATCAGCAAATGAAAACTGCAAGTTCTGTAGAATTTCCAGTTAAAAACCAGTATACGAGTATCTTGAATGCCTTCTTGGTTAGATATGTTGTATTGGCTCTTGGGTAGAAAAGTGTTAGCATAACCCTCAATATTGCTAGGTTATTTACCCAACCTCAGAAGCATAAAGCACTCATGATTCTTAGTGGCAGAAACCTTTTCCATTACCATGGGTCATCTCTGGTATGCATGAACTTGTAATAAAGATAGTTGTGTCTCTAAAACATGTGCAGAGTGTTTTCCTCTCATAACACTAAGCTTTACAGCCCATTTACTTTGAGGAGGGGTTAGAGATAGAGGCTTCTCTATCCTAGAGGCATCCCTTTCTCCCAGATCTGAGCTAAGAAACTGGATAAGAAACTTACCGAGAAGAACCTTTAAAAAGTTCTTGGGGCTGCAACTTTTTGGGGGGCAGATTTACTCAACAGTAAACTTACTCCATGCAATAGAAACGGGAAAATCAGTCAGTTTTGCTTTCCTCTGCACTGTTGCTTTTTTTAAATCTCAAATTCTTCCTGACCTGCATACGAAGAAATTTGTATCTATTGCTGCAATCTGTTGGTTTTGATTTGTCTTCCACACAAATATTCTTAATTTCCATCCTAAAATGTATGATGTCTTGCACAATCTTATCAAACATACAGTGAAATGAAATGCACGCCCGTTCTTCCTTGTAGTACGTCACTGATCCCATTGAATGGTAGGAGTTACTTTGAGATAAAACTATATAGGATTGAGATGTACCTTTGACTTTGTGGTCCTTTAATATTATTTCTTTCTAAGGATAATTGTTTTTTTTTTGTGCACCTTGTGCATAGTGTTTTGGGTGAAATTTAAATCTGTCTTGTGACTACCTCCTAGTCCATAGCTGAAATCCAGTAGTAAGTGGCAGCTAGAATTAGGTCCATTAAATCAATGGGGATTTGGTGAGTCAAAATCTCTGTAAGTTCTATTGATTTAGTGGCCTTACTCTACTTGTGACTTACTGTTGGATTTCAATCTATGTCCATTGGATGTTGACTTCAAGTAATGAATGAATGAGTCCAGTCTCATCCTGCTGATCCTCTAACTCCATATTGGAAGATGCGTGATCCTTGATAATTTGCTAGGGTCCAGCTCCTGTCGGACTATGAAATCTACGATTGATGAAAGTTTCATCCCAATAGCTGGAAAATCTCATCTTCCTCAGCTGTTCCCAAACCCATTAGCTTTTCTTTCTGGTCCTCCATATGCAGTCAGCTGGCTGGCTAGCTCAGTGAGTTGGTTATCCGTCTGCAGAGCCCGAGGTCAGGTGTTTGAGTCTCCATTTTGACTCCCAGGAAAAGAGCTTGTATGGCCTCGGGCAACTTGTCCGGCCCCCAGAAGAAGGGAAGGGTAAACCATTTCTGAGTATTCGGTACCTGGAAAAAGTGGAAAAGATTAACCTAAGTCAGCATTGTCATGATGGAGTCTTAATTATGCAATACAGTGGTGCCTTGCTAGACGATTTGATGGAGTCTTAATTATACAATACAGTGGTGCCTGAAATCGCTGTTTAGCAAAATCATTGACTAGCGAAAAGCATTTCCCCATTGGAATGCATTGAATCCTGTTTAATGTGTTCCAATGGGGAAGAATCGTCGTTGTCTAGCGAGGATCGGCCATAGGAAAGCCGCTTTGCGAACTGCCGATTGGCTGTTTAAATCGCTGTCTTGCGAAGCTTATGTCCCGAAAACACCTGTTTTGCAAGCGTGGAGGGAGCTGTCAAAATCGTCATCTAGTGAAAATCGGTTTGCGAAGCAGGGACCAAACATTGTCCAGCGAAATTCCCCCCTAGGAATCACTGTTTTGCGAATTGCTATAGCGATCACAAAAAGCCAATGTCTAGCGAAAAAGCTGTCATGCGGGGTAACTGTCTAGCGAGGTACCACTGTAAACCTAAAAAGTATGTGTTGTAGAGCATGGAAAAATTGCCTGCTTGGATTACACTTCCCAGAAGCTGTGATTATTTTCTTGGGATACTAACTTTCCGAGCTCTCGGGCAGAGATGGGTAAACTGTATTCCTCAATGCTGTTTTTCTTACCGTTATGAAGTCCCCAATCGCTGCCCAATGCTAAAACAAATTGGGAATTTAAAAAACAAGGATGCTTGGCTTAGTTTTTGTATTAAATGGATCACAGTGACATATGCCTTAGCCCCGTCTTGTTTGGACTGCTGCAGTGTACGCTATGTGGGGTTGCTTTTGGAAGGTGTTCAGAAACTTCAGATGGTCCAAAATGCTGCAAACAGTTTGTCAATTGGAGCTGGTTAGAGGGATTACATAATTCCTCTGTTGCAGCAGTTCCACTGGCTGTTCTCCATTTCTGGGCACAAGGCAAAGTGCTGGTTTTAATTTACAAATCCCTTAAGAACTTGGGTCTGAGTTATCTCAAGGACTGTATCTCTTGGTCCCACCGCCTTCAGAGGTGCATCTGATGGAGACCCAGGAGAGGGCTTTCTCTGTTGCTTCTCCCAGACTGTGGAACTCCCTCCCACTGGAGGCCAGGCTGGCCCCATCTTTGCTGTCCATCTGCAAGCCAGCAAAAACCTTTCTTTTCAGGCAGGCTTTCTCCCTGTAACTGGTGGGGTTCTTTAAAAAAAAGGTGCTTCTGCAGGGCTTTCTAAAATGTATATTTTAGAAATGTTTTTAAATAGTTTGCATCCAACAGTATTTAAAGGGAGGTCTGTTTCATCCTTTTTAAATGTTGTAATGATTTATTATTTTTTAGTTTTCAACCTCTTTATCTTTAATATAAATTGCCCTGGGCCCTTTTGAGAAGACAAGTGGGGTGTAAATATTTAAATAATAAGTCAAAGGTCACTGGTTTGAGAGTCAAAATATGAATGGTGGGAGAGAGGGAGGCGTCCTTAAGATTTACGGAGTTGGGATAAATGATTGTCAGCTTGGTTTGTTTTTCTGTGGAATGCAACAGATGGTGAGTAATTTCTCTGATGGCCTTCCTCTCTTCCACTCCACTCTTATATCCAGTCCCTGTTTAATTTTCTAAATGGAACATGAGTTTCAAGAATTCCAGGAATCCCCCTATGATGGAGAAATTGACCAATAACTTACACAAACATTTGTAAATATCGAGTTCACGCATATAAAATAACTACATTTTCTTCTTCATGTACTATGGATCAGCTGTTGTTATAGAGAAGTCTGCTTTAGACTTGTACTGAAATGGGAAATATTTTGTTTAAATACGAAACATGTTTTCTATTAATGCCTTCTCGTTACAAATAAGACTTTTCAATTTGGCTGATTTCTGCTTTCCTAATTGTTGCTTTCTCTTGATGTTTTAACTGTTAATTCCCCCTGCCTTCCCCAAGATTTATGGGAAAGGATGCATTAAAGACTTAAGAAGCTTGCCAAATCTATGCTCATTTTCCTTTGGTGTGAAAATACTAGCTTTAAGGAAGCTTGCTTTTGTTGTGGTTTTTTTTGAAAGCAACCGTTCAATTAAACCAACCTTGAAATAAAGTTAGCACTTGCATATCGCACGGATTGCCCAACCCTTGATTACTCATAGACAGATGTGCTAAATGCCTGGGGAGCATGCAGAATTAAAATTTGCTGCTCCCCAAGAAGGCAACCTCTTTGTTAAAGAAAAAAAAAAGAATTCTTGGTCCTTGTTATGACTGTTTTTACAACTGAGATGATAAACATGTTGGTTCATTGGAAACCAGAAACTGAGATCAACTCAGTTGGGAACTTTCCCAGTCCTTATTGGGAAATCCGTATATGAAACAGAGGTTGGGAAAGTAAATGTGTTTATTTTACTGTGTTTAATTTTTTTTTTAACAGCAACTTTCAGAATCTCCTCGCCGTCATGGTTATTAGCTGTGCCAGCTGGTGGATTCTTGGAATTGTAGTCCCCAGGCTGAGACCTGTTTGAACGTCAAGGCTAGTTTTCCCTTTCAAAGATAGGGAGTCTGTGTGACATTTCAGGGGAAGAACAAATGCAACATATCTAGTCAATTTCCTTTGGCATCTTCTGTGATCTTGAAACCATTGTGCAGTTTTTTAAAAAAACTCAACGACTCCATGATTAGAATCATAGTCGAGCCCATAAATCTACAGTGGTGCCTCGCACAGCGAGGTTAATCCGTTCCAGATTAACCCTCGCTGTGTGAAAGCATCGTTGAACGGGGCAGGAAAAGCCATTGGAACGCATTAAACATGGTTTAATGCATTCCAATTGGGCCGAATACTCACTGTTCAGCGATGCTTCCCTATGGCCGG